AGGGTTGTTTTATTTAGACTTAATTACTTGTTGATTCATAGTTTATATTACACACGAGACTCTGATTCATTGGATAAAATTTATCAATAAGAATTATTTTTAAACTAAAAAAAATTATATCCATCCCGCCTTTTATAAATACTTATACTATCATTAATCTTCGACATATATTTGCAATATTTATGTCAAAATGATTAAAAAGCCTCTTGTTTCTCCCGTTTAGTGACTGTCCTACAATAACAATTATTTTTTTTTTCATTGTATTTTTGATTAATAACGTTATATATATATATATATATATATATATATATATATATATATATATATAGACTTGGGATCATGTGAGACCAATGGTTTTTCGTGAGACTCGTAAGACCAATTCTCACCCTTGGATTAGATTTACAATCGTCAGATCTGAACATTTATAAACGCCATGAGACTTCTCAATAATTACAAAATTGCCACCTTACAAATTTAGACCATTAGATCATTAGTTTATAAATTTGATCAATGAATATAAATTGGTCTTACGGGTCTCACGAAAAACTCTTGGTCTCACGTGAACCCAACCATATATATATATATATATATATGTGTGTGTGTGTGTGTGTGTGTGTGTGTGGCTATTATTATATTTAACAGTACTGTACATCCAATTATCCAAATAATAGTTATGGGCCGTTTACTAAATGCTTACCCGGTAAGTACTTACCGGGTAATTTTTCTCACCGGATGAACATGACAAGGGCCAAGAATCTTACCCGGTAAGAGCGATGATAAGGATGGAGAGTCTTACCCGGTAAGTGAGGATGACGACTCTTACCCAGGTAAGCGCTTACCAGGTAAATTGTTGTATATGATACGTTTTAATGTAGTACAATCTTACCCAATAAGATAAATCATGGTATTGACTCCTAACATTAAGCACTTATCGGGTAAGCATTTAGGTAAACGGCCCCTAAAATTTCTTAAAAATAAGGTTTTATATAAAGGTGTTTTAAAATGAATCTCCTCTTCATTACATTTAAACTTCATTTTATTTTTCTAATATAATAAGTATCAACATCAAAATTTTGATTTATATTATAACTATTTTAAATTAATCATATAAAAACTCAAATAACATCCATTTGCATGTATTTTATTGTGGACATACAACGTCAATCTAAAAGATGATAGAAACCCCCATGTGCATTACTGATTATGACTCCCCTCCCCTTATATATTTAATGTTTTATTTGATGATTAAATGCAATTATTTAAATAAAGATGTATATAAGAAATAATAGTAAAAGAATAATTATTGTTTATTTTTCATCTTGCATAAACATTCTGAATAAAAATCCCCTTATGACCATGGAGGTTTAAATGCGGTGACTCTGGGCTATCTGCAAAGTAGGTGGTCGTACTTAAATTAATTGGCTCGCATAACGAATTAGGTATCCAAGTTAATAAATTTTTTTAAAAAAATAACATGTATTTAAGAGGAAAAAACATATATTAAATTGAATAAATACAAAGTCGAATTCTCTCGCTGCCTCTTAGATGGTCAAATAGGGCCTATGCCTGAGTTAGGACCAAAACAGTCTGGAATAGGGACCAAAGAGAACTGTGACAGACCAAGTTCGATCAGTCAAAATATGTTTTTCAGGGAAATCGATTAAGCAACTGGTCCATTATACTCAATTAAAGAATGTCGGATGGATCAATAATTTTTCTTTTGGAGATTTAAAAAGGAAGCTATTCGAAGCAATTTTGGCCCCATTTTGGTCTATTTGATCGTTGAATTATATATACATATATGTATAGAGAGAGAGAGAAATGAGCGATCAAATGCAAACCACCCAATTTATACAAACCGTGCAAACCACTTTCATCCATTAATTTCATTGTTTAATCTTATGAATTTTTTTCATGAAATTGTTTCATATAATACTTTTTTTTGTTAATGAAGTTGTTTCATATATGGTTATGAAATTGTTTCATATAATACTTAATAAAATTTTAATGAAACTGTTTCATGTATTTCTCTAAAATTAAAATAATGAAGATGATAATATCCATGATTAACACCCTCCACAATAAAAATGATTAATCAACATCTCATAATTACAAAAAAAAATGAACAAAATGAAAAATTATGATTGGTTGAATAAAGTTTGTATGGTTTGTACAAATAATGTGGTTTGCAGAGTAAATCTCCTCCTCCTTCTCTCTCTCTCTCTTTATATATATATATAAAAGTTTTTTGTGATGTTGGAAAATTTACTAAGCGCAAAAAACACTTTCAATATTAGCTATAATTCGGCTCGTGTATTGGTTTCGATTCTCAATATTCACTATCAATCTTGTATTTGTGCTCCAACAAATGGCATCCTCCTATAATACTGCTTCATCCGCACACCGATCACATTAATTGTTCAAGTCCTCGTCGAGCATGAACGAAAATCCGGTGTTTGGGATGGATTCAATTCGGTTATTCTTCAAAGTGGGAAGTGAAAGGCACATGATATACTAACGATCTAAGCTAATATGATAACTTCATAGTCTGCATTTTTTGTTAGTGATAGTATTCTGTTGTTCCGAAGGATAAAACTTAGCCTAAAGACAATAAAATGGTGTGTGTGCTTGAAGAATTGCTTGGATACATAGCTTTGAGACAATTTAACACCAAACAACACCTGATTTGGAGAACGACAAGGCGGACGAGGTCATCGAACAAATTGAGATCGCCCAAAACCTAATAGAACCACCAATAACCAATATCGACAACCTTCGAAGACTCTGAAGATGAAATTGACGATGAGGATTGAAAACTAGAAGAAAACGCTGTGTAGATTGAAGACGAAGATGAGAAACATGAGGATTGAATATTGAAGACCAACATAACTAGACATATTCCAACAACTACAAGTGGATCGATTACTAAAATTATAAAAAATTGTAATAATATGACATTTAAAATTAAATTTAACAAAAAATGAATTTTGAAGTCCATTTCAGTGACTCAGATGAAAAAAAAAGAATAAATTAGTCAAAAAAGTTATGGAAAAAAGATTCAACGATTGAATTTTAAAAAACAAGCCGGTTAAGGGATGGTGAAGGGTCTGGTTTTAGAAAAGACCAATTACATATTGGTTATTACCAAAACTAGAAAGATTGGTTATCAGTTCTTTTTTTCATTTAACCGGGTTTGGTTATAATCGAAACAATGACCCACTAAAGCCTAGTTCTTGGCCACCTCTATAGTCCTCTACTATCACAATTAGAGATGACCAAAAATTGGTCCAGGATGATCCGGGCCTAAATCAATCCCAATCCCGATCAACAACACCTAACCTGTTATCCATGTATAAAGCCTGGTCCCTAGAGCTAGTCCGCCATCGGGCCGGGCCCAAATCAGTCACAATTTTTTTCCCCCAAAAAATCAAATTTTAACATAAATAAATTTTGTTTCAGGATTTTCTTTGTATAATATCTTATAGAAATACACTTTAAAATCTCTAATTGAGTCATTTAAATACACTGTTTTTTTTTCCCATACAAAAGTGTTTTAAATGACTAAATGTTTCTATAATTTACGGTTTTTTAAATTTAGTATTTGAACACTTAAAAAACTTAAAAATAACTTGGAAATCTTGATATATAATTTACAAAACTTAGTTTAAAAAAACCAGACCTTTGTATAACCGGTCCGGTAACAGCTCTAGACTGGGCTGGGCCATGCTTTGAATTTTCAAGCATGACCGATCTCAAACCTTCAATACGTAACCGATCCTTACTGGTCTCAATCGATCCCGATCCCAATCCCAGTCTTAAGCCAATCCCGGGTATTACTGGGCCCATTTTGATTATCTCGAGTCTCAAACTCTCAAATCTCAATGCTCTTATATAATAAGGCTGGGCTTGGGCCTTGCACATGTGGGCTCAACCCACATCTTTTCTTGATCCATAACAGGCTTGAAAGAAATAATTCCAGCCCAACTGACAAAAACCTGACTCAACAATTGAAATTATTGCCTCATCTCAAAGTCAAATAAATCTGATCAAATTATTATTATATTATTATTGATTTAGTATCGAAAAAGCCGAAGTTTTCACGAAAACAACCCCTAAACCTCGACAAATCCGATTTGATATATGTAATGCTGGAAAAAAAACTTGAATCCTACATATAAAGTACATATATATAACAAAAGCTTTATATAAGATCAAGTATATAATTTTTGTAGGAAAGTACGAGATCGTTCTTAAATTTCAGTGTTTTTCTTGTTTCACATAAAACATGTACAGTTATTTTGAAGTTATATTTTAAGGTTAAAAGGTGAATCTTATAATCATTCTTAACATGGACTTGCTAAATAGTTAAAAGTTGAGTTATTAACTTTAAACGTATTATGTAAATTACATTTGACAGTTGATATGGACTGGTTTTTTATTACCAGGTAAGGATCAACCGGTCTAATTGAACCAATCTAGTCAAGTGAGTACTATTTTTGAAGATAAAGGTAGCGATATGATGTACAAATTTTATGCATCAATACCATTTTTTTTTCTCTTGTTTTGCGAAAATGTATCTGATGGAAACAAACATACATAAAATGAGATAAACGAGGAGGGAATGGATATGGAGCAAATGAAGAATGACGGTAAGGCGTTTACAAGAGGCCTTGTCACATGGATTTATCACCGACTATAGAATTTAATGTTTTATTTATTGAAATTCATGATCAGTTTTGGAAACTGAGCGTAATATTAAATTGACGTAGACTCTTTGTGAACAACTTGTAAATAAACCAAACAGACGAAAGAAGAACGACATATATATATATATATATATATATATATATATATATAAAACCTTTTTCCATTATGCAAAAGGTAGAGAAAGTTTGTGAGAAGGGTTAGATTGATGACTTTGTAATCTAGACATTGAAAAGTGAGATACTTTGCTTGCCACACCATATATATGAATCCTAATTACATACACAAAATTGAATTTGGTAACCACCATGTGACACTTTGCTTGCCTTCAATTCCTCCATTGTTGATCATAACCACTTACAGTGACTTCCTTCTTAGGGTTTCTTCCTCATACAAAACCCCCCCACCCCACCTCCCCTTTTCTTTTCATAGTTCATCATCATCATTCAAAAATGGAGAATATGGTCAAACAAAGAAGGTAATTATATATATATATATATATGATCATGGTTGGGTAGTTATATATATATATATAATGTTACAATACTCTCAAATTAAAACCATGGTTTCTTTCTTCATTTAGGGTTTCGTTTTCGGAGCACGAAAACAAAGAGTCCTTCAACAGCGAATATGCAGCCGCGATCGCCGCAGCCTCCTTCGCTATACACTCATTCGAAGAGAAAACGAGCTCTCAGCATCAGAAGAAACAGAAACCTAGAGAAGAAGGTAATTCACCGCCATCTTTTTTAATGACCTTCTAACAATTTTTTTTTAAACTTATAACCTTCTGATATGTTTTAACATGTTACTTTCATGCACCAGAAGCTTGTATTGTAAAAATCTTATCTATACTATATTATAAAGCATTTGACAACAATTCTTAAAAGCCACTTTTTATGTGTAAAGTACTGTTTATTAATGCATATTACTTAAAACTCAAGATTGCAAGTAGATTGTGCGTAAGTACAACTTATTAACGCTCCATATCTGGATTTGTGTAGCTAATTGCAGATAAACATAATCAAATATAGGATAAACATCTCATTTTAAATATAAAAAATCTAAAATATAATTAGGATAATCATTGAGTTCTAACAGAATACTTGATTATTATCTTTATAAAATGTTATATTATTAAACCAAAAATAAATTATTTTGTTATTAAACTTAAATTAAATTATAATAAAAAAATAAATTAAAGAAATTACATAAAAAATGAGAACTTTTAAATAGTTGATTTGATATTAATATTGATACTTTTCAAATTTATATTTTATTCAAAAATAAAATTATTATTGCTTTCTTAAAAACACATAAAATCGTATTTTAACATCGACAGAGACAAATAATAAAATAGAACATTAAAATCGAGATGTATCTCACTGCATTGCGCGAGTACTCTTCTAGTATATATATATATATATATATATATATATATAGGAACGTTCAAATAAAAACCACTCAATTTGTACAAACCGCGAAAACCTCATTCAACCAATCATAATTTTTCATTTTGTTTAATTTTTTGTAATTATGAGAGGTTGATTAACCATTTTTATTGTGGATGGTGTTAATCATGGATATTATCATCTTCATTATTTTAATTTTAGAGAAGTACATAAAACAGTTTCATTAAAATTCCATTAAATATTATATGAAACAAATTCATCAAAAAAAGTATTATATGAAAAAATTTCATAAGATTAAACAATTTCATGAAAAAATTTCATAAGATTAAACAATGAAATCGACGTATGAGGGTGGTTTGTACGATTTGTACAAATGAGGGTGGTTTTCATTTGATCGCTCCTATATATATATATATATGTATATAGTCAGGTTCAAACGAGAAGACGATCAATTCTTAGGTTCAAACGAGAAGACGATGAATTTGCAAGAAGACAAATAGAAATCATGAAATCATAAAACTGAAATCAAAACCCAAATTAGATTACTGAAAATAGAAAACGAAATGGGTTCCAATTGGTTCCTAACTTCTTAATACTGGTCTCATTAGGTGAAGCTAATTCCAGGAGAACAAGAATCATGAGTCTGGCTGATAAAACTCCATCGTTTAGAAGACCTGCAAGTAGGCCTAGAGATGCATCTGCTAATCGAAGTTTAAGCATCCATGGAGGTGGAAACACCAAAGTTGATGCTTGGGAGAAAGCCGAATTGCTAAAGATTGAAAAACGGTACAAAATCCATTACATTTTCTAAGCAATTTCTACTTCAATCTTAATTCTCTTGGAATAATCAACGTTGTTCCCAGATATGAGAAGAGCAACCAAACGATTCTTGAATGGGAGAAGGAGAAGAAAGCAAGAGCTAAACGTCGAGTGGAAGAGAAAAAGGTTTAAATCTCTATTACGATTTTCTATTCACATATGAATGAAAAGATCGATCTTGACGAACGAACCAATGAATGAATTCATGATCTGAAACATGTACAGAAAGAACTGGATCAAAGAAGATCGATGAACTGGCAGCATTACCAAAACAAGCTAGCGAGGATCGATCATGTAGCTGGAGGAGCTCGATCGCAGACCGAAGATAAAAAGAAGCACGACGAGAAGAAGGTAAAAGAGAGAGCAAGGGAGATGAGATCGCTGGAAGTTTCATCTCCAAAATACTGTTTTTTCTGCTGATCATATGGTCTCAAGATTTGTTTGTGTTTCCAAGAGTTCTGGAAATGATGTTAGAATGGCCAAGTTCATGTTCATCAATTAAGATATTTAATCAACTATCAAGCAGACGTATTATTATTATTATCAAACTTTCTTATTTTGAATGATTAAGTATCTGAACATATTTTAAAATAAATAAACTATCGAACTTTTAGAAAATTGGTTATCTACATCAGTTTAGCAAAAAATACCAGTAACCATTATGAAACCCTATACCCTTTGAATCTCTAAAAAACTTTGGTATCACTCCCCCTTACCACTCCCTGTCATCCCATTTTTGTCCGTTGTTCATATCGCCTATCACACTATTGGCCCCTGACAGTGATCTTCCTCTTTTTGATTTATCAAAAGAGGAAGAATCAAAAGATAAAAAACAAAATCAAAAAGAGGGAGATCGATGATAGAGGCCAACTACGTGATAAACAAATCAAAAAGAGGGAGATCGATGTGGCGACGAGGAGTGGCAAGAGGGGGTGATACCGCTGTTTGCGTGAGGTTTGAATGACGTAGGGTTTAGGAATGATAAATCTGATTCAAGTTTTCTTTTTTACTTTTAACACATTTTTAATCGGTTAAAGATAGTTTTTTTATTTATAAAAATGATGTAAAATTAACCAATTTTTAAAAGTTTGATGGTTTATTTTATTGAAAGAAATGTTTAGAGACTTAATCATTTAAAATGAGAAAGTTTAATGGTTTTTTGATTCAATTTTTTTTCGGAGACTTATATCATTTTAAATAAGAAAATTTAATGATTTTTCATTCAAAATAATAATTCATTGACTTAAACATTCAAATAAGGATAGTTCATTGAGTTTTTCAAAACTATTCCCTATTATATAATATATATTTTGGCTTGATTTAAAAATGTAAAGTTCAATCTAATTCAAACAACTACAACAAAATCGGACTCAGGTTTATAGTTATAAAAATGTCCACCATAACAGACTCTTTATAGGATATAAGCTTGTAGAGGTTAGTTATTATACAACCTTTTATATTTGTATAACCAATACAACATAATCTCAACCGTCCATTTAATTTGATAAATATGTAATTTCATAGAAGTTTTGATAGTTTCCTAATATAAAGTATTAATCATAATTAATGAACCATATTCATCTTCCATAAATATTCAAATCATAATAAATAAACTCTCATCATTTCTATAAATATCTCAATTAATTGGGTTGCATTGGTTGTACAAATGGACATGGTTACATTTGAAATATACCCTAAGCTTGTATATCCAAATAATTGTGTAAATTACGTGAAAGCGTTACGATAACTTTATTGAACGTTTTAGGCCGTCTTAACAAAATTTTCAGAACATTTTAAAAATAAAATGTTGTATTAGTTTCTTTACAATGCACTTTTCAGAAGCGTCTTAAAAATATATGTTTTTATAAGACATGTTGTTTTTCAAATAACATGATATATAAAATCAATAAAACAATTCATTTTTAAAAATATAATAAAAAAACTAATAAGACATTTGTTTTTATAAGATACCTTATAAAGCACAGTCTTATAAAACAAACTATGATGACTTTTAAGACATTTTGATGTCCTATAAATATCATTCTATTATAGTAAACAAAAAACCGACAACCAAAAAACCGACTCGCTAAATTTGATACAATTTTTATTTTATTTTTGTATCCAAACGGATGGAAAATTAATGTAACATGTGATATAAATATGTGTGAGGTTCAAACGAGAACAATAATCAAATAAGATACCATGAAAACGACCAAATCACATATGATTTTATACTAACGATCAATGTAAACTTGTTATTTGGTGAAGATGAGTATATATATATATATATATATATATATATATATATATATATATATATTATACTAGCAGTCTACCTGTGCAATGCACCGAGTAAGCAAAATTGAAACCAGTAGACTATAAGATAATGACAAGCTAGTTTTTCCATTTGAATTTTAAAATTCAAACAAAAAGTAAAAGAGGAAGTAAAATGGTATTGGGGTAGAGCATCGATAGAGTTGAACAAAAAAGGTGAAAGCAACCAGAAAATTTAGTCTCTACAAAAAGGGTCAAAAACTTTTAAAGAATTCAAAACATATATACAATACTTGTATATTGTGTTTCAGTGGGTATTTATGTGTAAAAATGGATGTTGAAGAAAAGAAAAAAAAAAGATATAATAAAATAGGTCCATTGATCCCTATCTTGAAGCCTGGATTTTATTGGGATAATTTGGAACAGTGCCAACCAATGATGTCACATCTTGTCCATTTGACACTTGGAGCTTATCAACAACATTTACAAACCTTGTTCATGACTTTGGTGTCACCCTGGACCTTTGCATTCATTCCTTCTTTTATTTAATTGCCGACACTCTTCCATCACTTTCCTTTTATAATCACAATTTAATACCTACTCTATAACTCGCATCATCTATATTCACCTTTATTTTCATCTGTTTACCTCACTTTTGTTTTGTCGAATACTGTATTTTTTAAGATGTGTCGTTTTATTTAAGACAAACGGTTATTGATTTGGTCTACTGGAAGAGTTGGTAATGTCTATTTATAACTAATATCAATAAATAAATCCGATATGAATTTGAACGGACTTTAAAAGATAGGCCTTAATTGAAAAATTGGGAACTTACGTAAATGATACAACATTTGGACCATTTATTGTTTCCTCAAGGGACTACAAGGTGGGTGGCTTTGGACCATCGTATCCAAATTATCTATCATCACCCATTTAGTGTATATCAATATATGTGTATATACGGTTGAGTTTTAATAAGAACTTTAAAGTTTTATGAGAAACGTAGGAAATACTTTGTTAGCGGATGTACGTTCACATAAGTTAACAAACTTATTATGTGGTATGTTAAATATATTTTGAGTTATGTTAGCAGTTTCATATTAGCATATACGTTAATTTCCGGGTTAACATATGCTAGAATGTTAACTTGTGTGAATATCTCCTTACGAAATGTTTCTTACGCTTTTCATGAAAATTTGATTTCCTATACGATATAAAACATATCTGCGTGTATGTGTGTATATATATGTATAGGTGGGTTCAAATGAGAAGGTAAACATTTTGCCATATCATATATTATATACACATGATACACAAACTTAAACACCCAAGAGTATAATTACATATGACATTGAAACTTAAGTAAAATGTTTGATTTCTCTTATAATCCTTCCTCTCTCTCTCTCTCTCTCTATATATATATATATATATATATATATATATATGATGAAAGATCGTATGAGAATAAAAGTTAAATTGAGAAGTGTAAGAAGGGATTTGGATTTTTGATCACTTTTAATTAGTCTTGATCTAATTGCTTAGATTAAGTCCCAAAATAACCCATGAATTAACTTAAAAGGGTATTCACAATCGATCCTCAATTAGGATTGACCAAAGGGTGGAGATCATTCTTACCCTTCTCACGATAACTACTATTCTTATCAAAAACCAATTCACACACACACACACACACTCAACCACACACACACACACACACACATATATATATATATATATATATATATGTGGTTGAGTTCTAATGAGAAATGTCATTTTCTATGAGAATTTTGAGACATGTAACCTTCACATAGTATATGTGATTCCCTTTATGTGAAAACGTGTGAAATTGACCGCTTTTACAAAAACCGATTAAAGTACATATTCACAAAATAAGAGAATTTTCACCATTTTGTAAGTTTCTGACCAAATACCAAGTCTATATGTGTGTGTACATACGAAACCTAAGCAATCGTGTTAGAAATTGTTATGAGAAAACTAGTGTATTAACATAGGGAAAGAGACCACTATTTTGCCATGGATACAAGGTTACCTGTTCCAGTCCAGGTTCTTAAAGACGTGGGCTAAAGCTTCAGTGTGAATGGGCCCATTAATCAAGTCGAGGCAGACAATGACCCAACTCAATTACCTCTCTTTCTAATTCTAATCTATTTTGGCTTTTTGACATGTTTGTGCCTTATGCATGAAAACTTGTACCTTTATGCATCATTGCATGTTTTTCCTTCTTTCATAGTGTCAAATTACACAGCTAATCTTTTATCCATTAATCCAAAGCTAACATTAATGTAGGTGATAAGTGACTGAAACAAAACCATAGCATCAACTCGACCAAATTAAAATCACCGGTTTTCGTTTGTTTGTTGGTCTTGTGACCACACGACTCTTGATCCAATCGTGTCGACATTAACGTATCAACTGGTATTAGGATGACTGAAGTTTGTGATGAAGAAAGACAAGAACTTGACAAAAAAGGAAAGGGACAAATGAAGAAACATGCACATAGAATATATATATATATATATATATATAAAAAAAAAAAAAAAAAAAAAAAATAAACGTGTTATTTGGTGAAGATGAGTATATATATATATATATATATATTGAAAAGAAAAGAAAAGAAAAGAAAGAAAACATGTACAGAAACAAATATCCACTTCTCTTCTCTCCCTAGATGACAACTAAGTTCACCACATTATCCATCACAACCCTAAATGGGAAATCCCAAATGGGATCCACCACTCTCCAAAACCCCACCAAATTGAAAGCACAGAATCCCATCTTAAATCCCAACCATTGAGAGGGCAAGGGTGGAAGCATTATTATATATGACCCCAAATTAAGTGGGGAATACCAAATTTGGAATCCCAAAAGAAAGCAAGGAACAAGAAGGAGAAAGATAAAGATCCTCCCACATGCATAGCCAGCAGCAGCATACCCCTCCTTCTGTCCCAATGTACATGATCACTTTTCTTTCTCTTTTTGGGGGTAAGACCTTTTTTCAGATGTGCTTCACTGACTTGTACCATGCCAAATGAAGGTTGTACATTGCTTTTCTGGAAAAAGGTCTACCTATTCTATAAAGAACCTGTTTTGCTCTGACTCTGTGCCTACATACCTTTCTTGCTTCTCCTTCTGTTTGCAGACATATATGATGTTTTCCAGGTTGCTGGCAGTATATAAAGAGCACCCAAGAAATGATCTTTTCTTCATTTCTGGAAATGGGTATTTAAGTAATTTACTCACTCTCTATGTGTGTGAATTTTCAGGCTTAGTGACTACGGAGTTGCAGAAATAACATGGGAAAATGGTCAGCCAGCCATGCATGGCCTTGGAAGGGCTAATGAAACACTAGAATCCATTGTTCATCAAGCCACAACATGTTACAACCAAAGTCAAAATCAAGAAATTGACCTACAACAAAGTCAAAGTTTGCCAAGATCGCGTAATCTGAGCTCTAATGTTGCATCTTCCAGTGGGAAATGGGGCGATAGTGCAGGCCAGAGTTACCTCAAGAAACGGCCACGATCATCTGCGATTTTCCATGATGAATGTGTAAGAAATTTGGGGACTGCAACTTTACAAGAAGATAATATCAGCAATGGGGCTACCATAAATTCGAAACATAATGACACAACAATGATGACATGGCCTTCATTCGACTCACCGAATCAGAGCTTGAAGAGCAAAAACACAGACGATGATTCTGCTTGTCAATATGGATCGGTACAAAATTCAAATCCCTTTGGAAAATTTGGATCTTTAAAGTTGTTTGAATTCATCAAGAAAGTGAAAAGAATGCATCAGAATTACTACTTTCTAAAGAACCATGTTGGTTAAATTGTCATTTCTTGATTTTAAACAGGAAAATCAAGAAGAAGAATGCAGGAATGAGGGTGAAACAGTTCGATCTCAATCAAGTAGGCGAAGCAGAGCTGCTGCTATTCATAACCAGACCGAACGGGTGGGTAATTTGCTTATAAATCCATCATTTTAAAAAAATCTAGAATATTTAAAGAAATTATATTGAAAAATGTGATCTTACATCTTCCATCATCGTTTTAGCGACGACGAGAAAGGATCAACCAGAAGATGAAAGCTCTGCAGAAGCTGGTGCCTAATGCTAATAAGGTCAGAATTTGTGTTCTGTTTTGCAGTTTGACTATTTCAGTCAATCCTACCAACATTCATATCGAAAATCAGTATGCATTTTTGTTAAAACTTGACCACCAAAATCTTTCCATCTATAAAAGACATCACAATATCAAATGGGTTACTAGAATTTTCTAAAATTTTAACAAGATCCTTTTATCAGTTTTAAAATTATAAATGATTCATTTTGACTTAAAAAGTCAAACTATACCTCATTGTTTGAATCACTCGAGTGGGAAACATTTCTAAATCTGGAAACTGTGTTCATAGACGGATAAAGCTTCGATGTTGGATGAAGTGATCGATTACTTAAAGAAGCTACAAGCACAAGTGCAATTGATGAAGAACATGCCAATTTCACCACCACAAATGATGATACAATTGCAGCAACAACAACAACAGCAGCAGCAACAGCAGCTTCAAATGTCTATGCTAACTCGAATGGGAATGGGATTCGGCCTTCAAATGGGGATGCCCGGAGTTATGCCTCCGCCAGCTCATCATCCATTCATGGTCCCACAAACCATGATCAGTCCCACCCATGTAGGCACCACGTCACAAACAATCCCCACTCGGCCGTCCACCAACGCCACAGTTCCGTTCAGCGATCCACACAGCACAATTCTAGCACAAGTATGTCAAATTTGAGTTCTAATAGTCAAAGTTGTTATTTAATTATCCGATTCGTTTCGTTTAAGACATTAAGAAGCTCATTAGGCCCCTGTTTTCTTGGTGCAGCATATGAACTTGGATATGTACAACATGGCAGCGTTCTACCGGCAACAAGTTAACCAGGGGAAATCAATCGGCACGAGCTCGTCTAAATCGAACCATATCCGAGGAGAATGATGAAGAAAAGCATCTTCTAGTTACTGTTACTGTTAACAAATATATACTTACAATTAAGCATGCATTACTGTGTTGATCATGTAAGCACTATTTTTTATGTATTTGTTGCTAGTATCAATTGTGCTGGTTTGTTATAATAAATATACAAAAGAAACTATATGCAAAATGCTACAACTGTTCGGATTCAGGCCAAAAACTGTAGCAAAAGTGGGGTCAGACCATGGGTTCCAGTTATCCTAGACCACGGACTTCCGTGGTCCCGTAAAATTTGATCAATAGGTTATCCCCAAAAGATTTGATCTGGATTTTCAGACGCAGGAGCACCACAAGAAAGATCTCAAATTTGAAATTAAAGAAACGGAAATCCGTAAGAAGATAATAACGGTTGTTTCAGATATCCAAAACCCACGATAAATTTAAGCTGTTCAGAGGCATCTGATGGCTTAATGGAATAAGATGGAGACAGCTTTAACCAGAAAAGGGACCAACAGAAGGAGTGTTTCACTTTCTATGGAGTTATGAGCATTGAATGACACAGGCTGGAGTCATGTGAAATGATTGGATATATGTTGTACATTTGTGTTATGTTGTGTTGTCCTGTACCAACATCTACTCCATATCCATTTCCATTTCCATTTCCATTTCAATCATTAACTCCATTATTTGAGTATGTTCCTTCATGCATTTTCTTGTTTAAATTCAAACAAAATAAATAAGGAACAAAGTACAACTTGGATCTTCAAAGTACAACTACAATTATATATGAAATCCACTTGTCACTTCTTAGATTCATTTGGTCTCATGCCTTAAATCAATATTCTCACAAATAAAAAATTATATTTTAAACCACAAGAGTGGTGTCTGATTGGTTTGAGCTTGACTTCAAATGTCAAAAGTACCAGGAAGTCTTTAGTTCAAATCCAAGGAGGAATAAAATAATCCCCTTGACTGGTTGATTTGAAATTAAAAATCTCGAAAAAAACTAAATTGACTGGTTGGTGAAATGAATTTCAACCTTAACCGAACCCATTCGTTCTATAATAAAACCAAACCAAATCAAATCGACTAATTTGAATCAATTATTGATGGTCCAATATGCCTATCATGTCCCTTCTTCAAATAATAATCCGTTAGACATATCACATGGATGAAAATGAAGAATATTTTTGTCTTTTATTACTTGTTTCAAAAATCAAACCCTACGTAATTCCTTCTCGTTTAGGTTATGGAAGCGTAATCCACTTCCCAAGGGTAACGTTATCAAATGAAGCAACCGGAGAATTCTACAACGTCAAACACCATCTTCACGTTATTGGGGTCTTGAGGCAGAAAAAATCCCAAGAGAAAAGCCCAGCTCTTAACAGGTCTCCTAGTAAATACGTGTCGAGGTCCAGGCCAGCCCAAGTTTTTTTCAAAGTCTAGATAAAGTATGATTTTTAATTGAAAACTCGACCTGGTCTAAGGCCTAAAAAAGCTTGGATACAACCCCATCAAAGTATACGATACTGTTTTGATAGACTACAATCTTACCCGGTAAAATAAGCTAAAGAATTGATTTTTATGGATAAATGTTGGGGTAAACGACTCCTAAATCAATCATGGAAGTTTGATGCAATAACAAGCTCTTTAAATATTATGAACGTCATGTGCACGATGACTTGCTCTGATCGTCAGAGTAGCTCGAACAGTCCACCTGATAGCCAACCAATGTGGGATCTCCAATAAGAATACTAGCCGTGTAAGTATGTTCTAACCATCTTTTAGACCTTCGGGATTTGAAGCTACAAGTGTCGGAATATGCGAGTAAGAGAGATCAAAACTAGTTTGGTTAATCAAGAAAATAGTAGTTCCAGTTAAGGAGTCAGATTGTTTCCTGAAGTGATGTTCTCAAAAGCACCCACCAAAGCTTTGACCTTGCTCTTTCTGGTTTGGATAAGTTTGCTAGCAGTTTCTTCGATAACCTTGTTCAGTGAACCTGAAGAGTCTTTCTTTTCTACCACTTCTTGGTGTTTAAGATCCACGTTGATTGAATGACTTGTTTCAGGGCTCATTATCACTCCATCAGATGACACTCTCCTCAAACTCTTGTTCTCACCCTTCCCACTTTCGTTTTCCTCCAATTCTTTTCCTTGTTTGAACTGCACTTTTCTTGGGCTGCTGTTCTCCGACTGAGGGCTGACCACCTTTCCTCTTCTGAATCTGAGCTCTCCAACTCCAAGAGAACCGTCTTCAGTTTCCACCACCAACTTTCCAACCCTATTCGACTCTTTTATACTTCTCTCTTCTGAATCTTCTATGGTATCATCGTTTTGACAATCTGTTGCAGGGGTGTCATCTTCCTTTGATATGACTTCCTCCTCACACGAAATGGGAAGAATTTGCCTTTCAGTTTCGGTAGTTTCCTCTATTGCACTTTTGTCTTCTGAATCTGATGGTTTGTCGTTGTATTCACCATCTGTTGCGGGGACATTATCTTCCATTGATGGGGAAGAAGAAGAAGCAGACGAAATGGGAAGAATTTGCCTTTCAGTTTCAGTAGTTTTCTCTATTGCACTTTTGTCTTCTGAATCTGATGGTTTGTCGTTGTATTCACCATCTGTTGCGGGGACATTATCTTCCATTGATGGGGAAGAAGAAGAAGCAGACGAAATGGGAAGAATTTGCCTTTCAGTTTCAGTAGTTTTCTCTATTGCACTTTTGTCTTCTGAATCTGATGGTTTGTCGTTGTATTCACCATCTGTTGCGGGGACATTATCCTCCATTGATGGGGGGGAAGAAGAAGAAGCAGACGAAATGGGAATTTGGCTTTCAGTAGTTTCCACCACCAACGTTCGAACCTCTTTTGCATTTTTATCTTCTGAATCTGCTATTTTGTCGTCCTGTTGACCATCTGTTGCAGGTGTATTATCTTCCATCAATGGTGAACATGATTCTTTCAGCCCATTACATGCTATAACTTTCTCCTCAGAACTCAAAGAAGAAGAAGAAGTAGACGAAATGGGAATTTGGCTTTTAGTTCTTTTAATGACATGCAGTGTCTTCTCTGGCACAACTTTGACTCCAATGGTTTTCGTGGGCTTTAACTTTTTTGAACCCTTAAGCTCTGGTTTTGGGAGACTTCTATAACTTCTCAAAGGTAGCAGTACTTTCGCAACTGGTTTCGGGCTCGACACAAAAGTCTTTAGAGAAGAATTAGATTTCTTGTTCATACCTGAAGGGAGTTTTGAATCTTTTCTTGATTCGTTCTTGATGATTCTCGAGCCTCGAACCGAAGATGCATTATATCCAACATCACTAAGTCGTCTTCTAGGAACTCTTAATGGGGGCACCTTATCTTCAATCGGTTGGAAGATATCACTGTGTCTTCTTCTAGAAGTTCTTGAAACCTGAGTCTTTGGCTTCAAATCTCGACTTTTTGGTTCAATGGCAACGTCTTTCTTGGTGGAGAATTTGAAGACATCTCTCTTTAAACCTTCATCCTTAACAACTTTATTGTTCTTGACATTATTTATTCGCGTTGGAGCCTTGGGAACGACTGAAGGTGCTTTCTTGATTCTGTTTAGCGAATGATCTACATCTATAACTCTTCGATCTTCAGGCGGTTTTGGAACTCTTTTGGGAAACAGATTTATCGTCTTTGGTTCAGTGGGTTGTGTAGTGATCACACATTTGCATTGGTCATGACATGAACCCATTGGACCTCTGAGATACCGACTTAGAACTTTTGGCGCCGAGGACTCCATTCTGTAGGTCCCAGGTGACTTTTTTCGTGTAAGGTTCATGTGAAGAACAGTTTTATCTCTCCAAATTCCTAAAGAAACGTTACGAAATTCATATCTGGTTTGTAATTTAGATGAGAAAGCAGATTTCAGATAAAACCAACCTACCGAATTCTTGTGATTAGAAAGAACATGTCATCTAAAATCTTGGGAACTTATGAGATCATGATCCTGAAAATCTATAGAACATTAAACATGGTTAAGGTTACACACAAACAATTAAGGTAATAGAAAGCTCGATGATTTAACGTATTACCGTCTAGAATTCAGTGATAATTAAGCCAAGAGAGGGGCATGGTTTCAGCAACATGATTCCTCCTAAAGTGTTCTAGCTAGCACCTGAAAATTTTTCATTAGGAATCCCATCTTTGACTTTTCAAGAGTCAAATGAATTAGTATTTGACTTCAAAATTGTTGAGAATCATTTTGGTTTTACAGAAATAGGTCACATACACATTGAGCTACAAGAAAACACCTTCATATTCTATTACAAACATACAAAATTGGCATTCGTGTTTCCTGATTTTGAGGCATGGAAATGGTCCATTTTGACAATTGGAAGTCAAAAACTGACTCTAGTTTAGAACAGGTTATGGCATTCTTGATTCAAATCATTGGGAAATTTGCCATCAAACCAAATAGAAATGATCAATTAGGATCATTCACCAAGATCTTGAATCGGGTTTCGTTAATCAAATAAAAAATATAGAACCGAAACGAGGCCATTTTTCGATAAAATTAAAGAGAAAACGAAACCTGTTTAATTTGCGTTTGAATCTTGAAAACCTTGTGACCAGCATTTTTAAACAGCAACTGAAAACTTGAAAAAGGATGATGACGAATGGGGATTTCAGTTTCTGTTGTTTTGTTCAGAAAATTCTTGTGGTCATGTGGTGAAAGACAGTTAAAAAGTCAACGGCAAATTCTCTTTTCTGATTAGAAAAAAGGCCAAACAAAATGCTACTTGTGAAAAGACTAGTTTGTCCCTCAAAAATAACGTTCTATTCAACCTCAATGGATTTTATACAGGTTTTCCACAAATGTCAATCAAATTTTATATGAATAGTTGCTTGATACAGAAAAACCTAATTCAACAAGCATGAGATATAAATCAAATCTGTACGATTAACGTTCTTCACGTTTCAAAAACAGTTGTTACAAAAATTCCATCTTAAAACCACAAGGGTGGTGCCTGATTGGTTTGAGTTTAACTCCAAAAGTCAAAAGTACCAAGAGGTCCCAGGTTCAAATCCAAAAAGAAATAAAAATCCCCTTGTGGCCACGGAGGTTCAAATGCAGTGACTCCGGGCTATCTGCAAAGCAGGTGGTCGTCCTAGGATTAGTCGGCTAGCATAGCGGGTTGGATATCCAGGTTAATAAAAAAAAATTCCGTCATAGATAGGAGCATAAAGTACCCTCAAAGCATAATACAAAATCAACATGAAGACGTGTTCCTTTAAGTGACTAAAACTATTTCATGTTTTAGTAAAAGGTTGATTACCGACAACCATAACTGCCCCTATATGGAATGCCTCCTTAAAAACCGTTAATGATTGAAACTATTTCATATTAATGCAGAGGTTCTGAGTTTGAATCTAATTTTTGGGTATGACTAACGACTTACCAAGAGTTGACGAATGTACTCACAAGTCATGATAATAACTTAATTTAAGAAACTATTGATTATGAAGAAATTTGAATGTTCTAATTCAAGTATTAAGTACCCGTTGTTGGATTAACGGGGTGATTGGATGCGTATTTTTACTATTTATTAATTACATCATGTAATCATTTGATTAAGGTAAAGACAGTTAATCTTGTTTTTACATTTACCTTCAAAATTGAGTTATTTAAGAGTAATTTTACTCTAAAAATTTTGAACTAACAATTAAATGAATGATAAAATGATACAAGGAGTTGAAAGATTAAAGTTGATTGTATAAAGAATTTAAATTATCTTGGGATACATTCATGAAGAACAAATATTTTTTTTGATTAACCTGGATATCCAACCCGCTATGCGAACCGACTAATCCCATGGCGACCAACTGTTTTGCAGATAGTCCGGAGTCACCGTATTTGAACCTCCGTGGCCACAAGGAGATTTTATTTCTCCTTGGATTTGAACCTGAGACCTCCAGGTACTTTTAACCTTTGAAGTCAAGCTCAAATCAATCAGACACCATTCTTGTGGTTCATGAAGAACAGATTTTGTGTATGGAAAGTAGACATAACCTCCCCCTTGATTGCACTAACAAAAAGTTTGAACTTAAAACTACTTAATTGCCCTCCGAGTTTGGAATCGTATGTAAAATCGGTTAGAACACTTATGAGTCTTTAAATAATTAATGAGGCCAAATTTTTCTTAAATAGAGAAGCAATGTAATGGTGCCTTCTTCCACTTTGCTAATACATATATCTCAACAATCCAGTCATAATTCCAATAAAAACCTGAATATTGCACATAAATCAGCTGAATACAAGGACAAAAACAGTAAAATCCCACCAAAAAGATGACTAAATTAGCAATCATATTGAAAAAAATATACACAGTGTCATAAAGTAGAGAGTACAGACTCTTCTTTTTACAGGCATATAGAAGCTACATGACACTTGATGGCTAATATACTAGAAATGATACTTGCCACCCCTAGTTTTTCCAGGATTCAACAAGTTCCAAAAATGGCATACTTGTAGTTGCAGATTGCAGATTGCAAAATAGTGCTATAAAGAAGTCCCAAATTGAAAAAAAGAAAGAGAAGAAGAAGACAGCCAGATGCAACCTTAAGTGATGATTTCTCTTACCAGCCAATCAAGACTTGGGTATGCGAAATAAAGAACAAGAAAAGATGGCAGAGCAAATAGAATTGTGATGAGGATGTACACAGCTAAGATGATTGCACTTGCAGGTATGGCATATAAAACAATGAGTAGAAATATGAAGACCAGAGGGAACTTGGCCGTCAAGTGAACAAAGAAGATTAAGGACTTACGGAGAGATGAGTGCAGTCTTTCAGTATTCAGATGGGTAGATCGAGAATCATCATGGCGATTAGACTCGCGAACACGTGGGCACACTAGATTATTAGTATGGCTAGGCTGATTACTGATCAAACCTCGAGTCCAAGACCAAGCAGGTACTGGCAGATGGTCACCACAAGAGGAAGAATGGGACTTGACTCTATCACCATTTAAGCTCTCAACCATCCAAAGGAGAAAGTAGTTCTTTCGTGGAAATTTGAGGTTCCCTTTATAAACCAACCGAAATGATAACAAGTTGCACCATGGGCATGATATGAAAAAAGGGAGCTGAATTGGAAGAGTGGGCAGTTTCACAACAGCCCATTGTAGTCCAAGGACACAGTTCTTACAAAGCGTGTGGCCACACCATAATACGTAGGGCACATTCTCCACAATATTAAAGGATTCCCAGCAAATGGGGCACTCTAAACCCTCCTCTCTGCTGTTATTTACGGAGACGTCATCATCAGAGTAATCTGAAGAAGCTTGATTTGGTCTTGCAGAGTCATTCTTCAGTCCAGAGGTACCCGCAATGGCATTTGAAGCAAAACTCCACATATTGAATGAGAAAGCTTTGTTACAAGCAAAATCTCTTCACCTTCTACAGAGTCAATAGCAGCAGATGCTCAGATCCATGCCTGCAACATTAAAATCTTTTTAACCATATAATGTAGTTCATACTAAGAACTTAGATGAACATGCAATTCTCATAGGGTTCATGCAAGTTGATTGTTTCAAGTTCCAAGGTTGATTTTTAGTAAGAATATTTGTCATTAGAGAAAGGAAAAACAAGAACATGGTGCTGATATTGTAGTTGTGCTGCTCAATAGAACAGAATCTTTTTAACACAAAAGGTGAACAAGGTATAACAAGAGTGGCATATAAGAAAGTGTAAGCAACTTCCATGTCCCAGTGGTCATATTTTAAAAAATTCACAGCAGTAACTACTATCTGTCTGGCCAAAGATTACCAATCAGTTTTTCAAGGGGACGATGACAGAAAATTGTGTTGCCAGGCTATGATTACCGAGAGAGTTAAAACCATTCCCCTAGCATAACCCTGGCTTCAGGAAGATCAAACGGTCCATTCATTCTCTTCTTTGTTTATTATTATTATTATATCATTTTAAATCTTAACACAATCCTTTTCTAATTCTAGCACTTGCTAAATATGTAGTTATCAACCAGTCTCCAAAAAATTTAGAATATATTGATGTCAAATTTGAAAATAAAAGTTGTTTGTTTGACATCCAAAGTATGACAATTTACACAGAGCATAGGGAGCATTATTTATGTTCTTTTCACATGGGTGGATACATATAGAAGGCCAAAAAAAAAGTAGTTTCTTACACTTGTAACAAATAAATAACTAACTTACCTAACAGCAACTCTTACTTCTTTTCCATGTACAAGCAAAGAAAAGATGGAGGAAGCAGAACCACTATTTGCAAATACAAAGAGCCCAGTGTTTTATGGAAGTTTCTGTGTCTTCTACTCCTACCTAGCTCGTTATTAGGTGATCAACGGCTACAATCCAAGAAAATAACAGTCCCAGCTAACTTTAGGGTCTAGTAGAATACATTGACAATAATGAATATGAACATTAGTGTGAAAATAATGTTGCTTTATAATGTTAGGCAAGGAGAAAAAACAATGGCATAAACAATGAACATCAGTGTGCAGCAGCTCAATTGTTGGAAAAGAAATAATCTTGAATATAATTGGGATGAAAAATTGGATTTGGCCAATGCACCAGAATGAGTTATTGACATGGTATGGTGGATGCTTAAGCAACATTGGTTAGGGGACAAGCAATGATCCAGGAATACAATTTATTCATAATAAGGCTGCGAGAAATATTTAACTTAACTGGATTCTGCTGATATTTACTTTCGAAAACAAGCTTTACAATATCTTCCATTTGTGAGCAACAATAGTGTACTATTAGTAGTGAATAAAGTGGTACCTACCACTAAACCATTGACACAATAAGGCACAAGGAACTATTTGAGATCTTCAGGAAAACCAAGCCCTCGACATGACGCCTAATTGAGTCCTTCAAAGTTGCCTCGTCTCAATCTCTCTCCTCACTCATGCTTATGAAACAAATTACACAATTACATCGATCTCAGATTGCTATAGGTTTCCCAGATGAGTTTAACAAAACTAATACAGAAACAAAATAATGTTGAAGTAAGGGCTACAATCATGCTTGCAATACAGAATATGGTAGCTTTCTTTAAGTTATTTGCTAAGCAAGCTTACAACCAATAATATCAACATCTAAAGTTAGAACAAATGACATGGATAAGGCAAGCCAATATCAGCAGCACAAACATTGAAATTGTGCAAGGCTTACTGTATATTGATTGTGAACTATTAAATACATAAACTTACATTACTTATCTGACTTTAGCTGAATAGAGAGATTAGAAGGAAGAAAAACAAGATATGATAAAAATCCATAAAACCATGTTCTTGGATGATATGTTTCATGCACAAAAGTAGAACCATAAGGAGCACACTAACAACAGAAAGGTCCCTTAGTCCATAGATGGAGGGATTCTATTGTCAAGTTTCCATTAAAGAATTGATATAATTCAAGGTCATCAAAATGCATTCTTGCAACTAAGATATATGTACGAACACTTGCATAAACGAATATTCTTGCAGTTAATTAACAACGTGAGAAGAATGTTCCAAAAATCTTTCAAAAAGGCAGGGCAACGCCCCAAAAAACCCACGTTGAAATTAAGAGAAAAAGATACTCTCTCGGGTAGTCGGATATCAGAATATATTCAGTTCATAAACATTCATATCACATGAGAATCCAAACATAAAAAGCGAACATATGATCAATCAATCACATCAAAATACCACAAATACACATCGGTACATCCGCCCCTTTTTTCCTGAATTTCATAATCGCTAAAAAAAGAACGAATTCCACGTTGCCTATAGAAAAACAGATTAATTCCTATCACAATAATAAATAAAACCTTACTTGGAATCAAAGATTTTCCAAAAAGACTGAAGAAGAAGAAGAATCATAGCTGGATAAAAAAATGAAGATCGTTTACCTAGGAATCACAATATGATGATCATGGACGAGACCGCCGGAATCATAGATCCATTGGACATAAGCAGTTTGGTTGTCCGTTAAGAAACGGTGGGATAGACGTACATATATACACAGACAACGTCGGCGAAGAGATCTGACAGCGACCAGTTCGAGACCACAAGAAATCCAATGATAAATGAAACAGATCGCAGGCTTTCAGAACTTACCAACATTGCTAGGCCCATTATGTGTAGGCCCAATAGCCATTAAAAACTAAAGTAATGATGGCCAAACCGGCCCGGCCCAGCCCAGGACTGCCGGAGGATCGGAACCGGTACCAGCCAAGGACCGGTTATGGATTTTTTCGGTTTTGTGGGACCGGGACCGATTACGCCAGGACCTGTTTATGGCCGGTTATGAAAAAACTTGGGACCGGTTTTTGGCCATCACTAAACTAGAGTAAATTATGAATTTGGTCCCTGTGGTTTACATTTTATACCCACACTGGTCCCAAAATCAAAATAAATACAGATTTGGTATTCCTGGTATGTATTTTTACACCTATTAAGTCTCTCCCTCTAACGAAATAAAAACAGTCTATTAACACAGTTGAGTCCAATAATATTTTAGTCTTTTTATTCTTAATCTTGTCTTTATCCTATTAAACAATGATCCCCCCAAACATCGGTAACCTCTTGTTTCTCTAGTTGCCTTCGTCCCCGCACCACTCCAATCGAACCCCCTGAAAACCTCCACCTGCGATGATTGAGAACATAGACGGACCTAGAGGGGTGGTTAGGTGGCACGTGCCAACGTATTGTTCCTCCGTGGTAAGGTAAAAAAATAGATTCGTGAAAGGTGCAACCGTTTTATTCTAGAAGGTGCAACCGTTTTATATGGTGTCACCGTATCCAAAAAAATTTGGGCCCGTCCCTGATTGAGAACCACCAGCACCACTGTCTTTTCCATCCCCAACGAAACCCTAAGATCTCCACTCGTTCTCTCGATCTGCTCCTATACATCTCATTTTCTCGATTTGCCCTTCTCGTATCCATCAAGGCTCGACAGGAACAACGTTGATCTCTAGATCTCATTTTGGTTTTGGTTCAAGACGTTTGACAAGAAAGAGAGAAAGAGAAAGGGGAGGCATAAATCAAAAATCTGAATCTTTTATCGATTTCATTTTTAGGTTCAAATCTGGTTTCGAGCTGTGTTTCAATTTCGATTTTGGGTTTGAATTGTTTCTAGGTTTGATTTCTTGGTTTCAGTTTTGGGTTTGAACCTCCATATCTGTTTTTAGAGTTCATGGTGATTCTAGAAACGAGTAGTTTGGCCTCCATATAAGTTTTTTTTTTTGGGTTTGAACCTCCACACTGGTTTCAATTTGATTTGGGTACATCGAATAGTTCCAGATTTGATTTCCAAAAGAATCTTTTGTGTCAGATTTGAGTTTTATCAATGGTTCTTTGAAGAAGAACAAAAAAATCTTTGGTGGTGGTGGTGTGGTGGCTGCAGGTGGTGGTGGTGGTGGTGGTGGTGAGAAATATATATATCCGTAATATATATATATATATATATATATATATATATATATATATATAAACATAAAATAACTTTTATTTGTTGGGAAAAGTACAATAAAAACCAATGGACTTCCTTGTTTGGAATGATTAAGTTCTTGGACTTTTTTTTGGAACAAATAAGTTTTTGGACATTTCAAAACATGTTAAATAAGTCTTTGGACAATTTTTTGGAACAAATAAGTTCTTGGACATTCCAAAATTTGTTAAATAAGTCCTTGGACAATTTTTGGAACAAATAAGTCCTTGGACATTTCAAAAAATGTTAAATAACTCCTTGGACAATTTTTGGAGCAAATAAGTCCTTGAACAATCTAAAACATGTTAAATAACTTCTTGAACTTTTATAAAACATGTTGGATACATTCTTATTACTTGTACAACTAGTTAAAGTGGTAAAATAGTGAAAAA